ATAGGGTGACAGCAGATTTTATGATTCTTGGCTTTAGAATTACATCAAAATCGTGTTTTATCTGACATCAAAAGAATGAGCTGTTTTATCATCATGACAGTGCTTTCTTCTGCTTGGATTAGTAACAGTGCAAATAAGGCAGCTATAGAGAATGAAAAAAAAAAAAAAAAAGTTTTGTCCTTAGGCTTAGGCTTTATCTGTGGTTTACCAGCTTCTAAACAATCAGCTATATGATGAAAGAGAACCAATAAGGCATTTATATTCTGCATTATTGCTAAACAAAAATGAATGTGTAACTTTTTCTAAGCTTGAACTCTAGACAATTTTGAGGTTTTGTCCCATAAGACCCTAAATTTATTTTGGTAATATTACACCAAAAGCTATGCTATACCACAATCTTAATTTAAGTATTTCTTTCTGGTGAAAATTAAAATAAAAATAAAAGTAAGCATACTGAAATATGCTATTTTGTACATAACTTATTGCAGATTCCTAGCATTACTCAAGCAATGACTTAATTTGTAATAATTGTTTTTGGTGGACCACATCTAACTGGATTTCAGCAAAGCAATTGAAATGGGGCCGTATGGGGAATTACTGGTAAAAGGGTCTGGCTGGAGCAGAGACAAAAGGTGCTGAAAGGGGGAAATATCACAGCAGAGGGAAGGTGCAAGCAGGTTCCCAAGCATAATTCTGAGCCAGACTTAACTAAACATATTCACCAGCAGCATTTGCACGTGAAGGAGCACATCAGTGAAATTTGGTAATGACAGGAAGCTGGGAGAAGCAGCAGCATATCTCACAGGAAGAACTCAGGGAGCTGATGACTGAAAAGTACCCTAAAGATATTCCATTATACAAAGCCTAAGGTCATATACTTAAAAGGAGATTGTGTTTCCTGGATGAGCTCTGCTGGAAACAAGGAGACAGAAAGTCTGTTTTCATGATGAAGAAGGGAAAGTGTGAATTTCCGATGCAGGTATCTGCACAGGCCCTCTGAGGGCCTTCAAAGCACCTACAACTTCATGTCCAGTCACAGGACCTTTTTTTGGTCTTCCTCCTATTAAAGAATGCCCTCCCATGGGAGGCAGGTGTTGAGGGGTTCGTCGATAAAGGCAGGAGTGTGGCTGAACCCCACGCAGCTGTATGCAGAGCCATCTCGAGCCCAGGGAGTAGGCCCTGCTTGGCACAGCTGCAATCCTTCCACCTGCACAGCTCTCTCAGCCTAACCCATTATTTCAGGCAAAACATCTTTCAGAGAGATCCGCACATCTGGAACCTTCCCACCAACATGAAGGATGGCTTTTCCCCCACCCACGGGCTCTGGGAAAGTCTTCCCTGCCCTTTCATTGCCCACAATGATCCCTCAGAAGGGTTGGCTGGATACAAGAGCTCCCACACGACTGCTGACATTTAAGCCGTGTGGCGGGTCCTGTTGTGCACCGATCCCGCTCCCACCAAACACAATAGCAGGCTTTGCTGGGTGCAGGATTGAGCCCAGGGTGACATTTTCTTCCACCCCACGCCTCTTTGCTGACTGAAACTTTTGTGAGACCGCGGAGGCCAGAAAGCCCCTGCGGTCCCACCTGCTTCTGCAGGCCCTGGTCCCACGCTCGGTTCACCCTGAGGCAGTGTCCACCCCCTTGCGTGCTCATTTCCCCACCAGTGATGAAACGAGTGCCCACATGCCCCATCCAGAAAGAAAAATTCTTTGAACTTTGGACAAGAGAAATTTGGTGGGTGCTGTTGACAAGCCATGGCATCATCCTCCAAGCAGGGACACCATCTTCCCCAGCATGGGCATCAGAAAAACACCACAGCGATGTTAGGTGAAGCAGCGGCTGATTTGGAATTCATTAAAAAATAACAATTTATAGCAATTCATAGAGACTGAAATTTTGTTGAAACATCCCTGATTACAAAGGAGTATTTATCAGAGAGGTTTCTTTCATCCAGGCAGAAATTTTCAGTCAAAACTAGAGTGAATGCCAACTGTCTGCCCAAGAACAGCAAGGTCACCGGGTAGGCACCCGCTTGCAGCAGGAAAACACAAATGTAAAATTTAATCTGACTCCTGACATGAACTTTTTTCCCTTCTTTTTAAGGATCTCCATTCTTTGCCATCAAGGGAAGTCTTATTTTCCAAGAATGGGCACAAACAGAAGGAGAAAGATGGAGACAGTAGGAAAAATACCTAAAGGAAAATTTTTCTACCCAACTCAGGTTTAAAACAATCTAAACTAAAACATTTAAACCTATCCCTTTCGGTATAGTGGCAAAGATAGTTCAGCCTCTGCTCAGAAGTGGAACTTTACGTTGGACAAGCCTTTAATGAACTTTTGCTGATATGAACATTTTTGTCCTTTTCTTAACTGCCCATGGTAGTAAATACATCTGGCTTCGCAGGCTAGGGGATGCAGAAAAATATACCTAAACCATAATTATATTATTTTTCTATGCAACCTGTGGAAAATCACCAAATCTAAATGATTTCCTATACATGTTTTATACTGTATTATAGGAATTGTATAGGATTTCTTTAAAAATACAATTATATTATACATTATTACTGCTGTCATTCCAATGAAGAGCTAAAAACGTTCATATGTCCATCACATGACAATATTTCATAAACACTCTTTGTTAGAGTTGGACTTGGAATTGGCCTGGCTTGCCAGAAAAATACTCTTCCTTCACCAAATCAACATGAAAAGTGATTTTCAAAACTGGAGTGAGCATAAATAAGCAAATATCAGGTCACATGCATCAGATACTTTCATTATATGTGTCACTTAAATGGAGTATTTTATATCACAATCATTTGAGTGAAGTATTAGAAGCATTTAACTTCTGGTAGTTTTCTACTGATGCATACTTATCTCTTAAGTGCAATTTAGTGTAAAAACAAAACAGAAACAAAAACAGCAACAAAAATAAACAACAAGAACAATGTCCACAAAATGTTTGCAGAACATTCATTGTCTCCCCTTGAGCCACAATCACTTAATTACTGTGTTAGAGATCTTTGGATAAAGAGCAGCATGAGCCTGCTCTGCGACTCAGCCACTTCCCACTTAGTTTATCTAAACAGAAACACAAAGCATCACTGATCATTTTGTACTAGGTATAGCCAGTGTTGGTAATTATGTTTGGAGCCAGTGTTGGTAATTGTGTTTAGAACATGCTAAGATGTTTCTGTTCCGGAGTTGTTTAATCATTGACGTGTAAAAACCCAGCCTAGTTTTAACAGCAGGCACAAAGCACATACTAACAGGAAAAAACATCTTCTGAGTGGAAGAGACTGGGTTCCTAATACTCCTGTCACTGACATTTATGCTTTTCCTGTGTACCTACAGACAAATCACAGTCTAAATTTCTCACACATGGGTGTTATACACTGGCCTCAGATTTAGCATTTACACATTTATTTTAAGAGGCTTGATGTAACTCAGCTTGTAAGTTTTTATTCTACACTTAGTGGATCAGAGAATGGATAAACAGCATCATACGTACTACTCACGTGCAGCCCCACATGTGCACGTACATGTACATACATAGCTAAATTTCTTGCACTTGAGGTATAGAAAATATCACCGTCTTGCTCTCCTCTCCTGCTCTGCTCTGGCCGTGCTTCCTTTTTACTCCAAGAAAGCAGAAAAGTTTTTACCCACCCATCATACTTTATCCACTCTTTGAAAGCTTCCCTTCTAAAGGCCTGCGCATATTGCGTTGGCACTCTACCAAAAACCGGCTAACAAATGGCAGATTAAGTGGAAACACGGAAAAGAATTTCAAGCATGTATTATACTTGCCTGGAGTTCAGCGTGCAACTTTAAGACAAGGGCTGCCCTCTAAACAGGCAGGCCTGGGAATTCAGTTGCAAAACAATTACAGATGCAAGGAAAATACCTTTCCTCTGAGCAAGAAACTTGATGATATACTGCAGTCTTCAGTAAACCGAGTTCACTGTGTGCTCTGGAACAGCTCGGCATGTTCTGTGCTGTCTTGAGACTTTACCTTCCAGCTCCAGCAGTGCTCTCTGAGGGACTTATAGCGTATTAACCAGAATTTATGTTATGTCAGCCCCTTCAAGATGCAGGAACAGAAGATTAATAACCATTGCCATTCACAACCAGAAAAGCCTCTGTATCCCCATTTACTGCTCCGCCTTAAAATACAAGAATAATGAGGCACTTAATTCAGTTCTGCAGATTATCAGCAGTCCTGATCAGCTGGACAATGAAATTTCTAGTGTCATGCTTGTATATAATTTATTTACATGTGTTTCCTTGATGAATTATTTTGGCTGCATGACTATCTTCCTTACAGTTTAAAGCACAACTCCACTCTTCCCATCATCTTGAGAGAATAAAAGATCTCAGCCTATAGTCTGAGACAGTATTTGAGAACATAGGCCTAGTGGATGGGAAATACGTACACTAAACCAGGTTTTATTTTCTCAAGCCCACATCCAGATATCAGGAAATTTCACGGGCAGCAGTTCCCAAATCCAGTAGAACATTTCTGCACTCCAGTGCTCCCCTAAAAACTGTTGGTCTTATTGTTGGCTTCAGAGGAACTTTTTTCTCACTGCATCAACTGAAAGAGAAAGATGGACCTGACTTATGTCTTTATACTGAGTAGTTCAAATTTGTCTACAGTTTATTGGCCCTAAATTTAATAAAAGCAATGTGACACTTTAGTTAAAGCTGAAAATAACCTATTAATCTGCACTCATGACTGGCTTTGGAACTACAACAATTGTACAAAAGCTAAGATTGATTTCTACTGTCCAAAAAAACAGTAATTAATCCCACATATATATATATATATATATATATATATATATGCATAACAGGTGGAAAGAAAAAAAATGAAGGAAAACAAGCAGCATTTAGTATGTTAATGTATCTTTTCTGCATTTGAATGCCTTTACAAATAAGTACCTGTGCAATAAGATTGAAAGTGTAACCCAAGTATAGTACAAATACAAGACTATCTGCATTGAAATTCCATAACTTTCTTTATTCACTGTGATACATTCAAACAAAAGTGCTCCAGACAACAGTCATAGAGTAAAGGAAATTAAAAAGGCAGAAAAAGACCATCAGATACATGTGGTGATTATTCATATGTCAAAGCATTAGTAGCTGCTTGTATCTGAGTGCACCAAAAACCCGTGAGGGTCCATGTTTTCATATGCTGCACCTATAAAAATAATAATCATAGGCAGCTCTAGCACAAATGGCTTTCAGAACTAGAGCCAAAGCCATCACAAAGATAAAGCACCATCAGGCATATGTTTACAAATGCCACAGTAATTAGTAGAGTGAAAGAAAGGCTTAGCTGAATTAACATTTTCCTTGTATAGCATAGGGAAGCCCTGCTCAGACTCACTCCTTCCAGCTCTGCCATTTCACACCAGGGCCTTGCCTTTGCCCCATAACACCAAGAGCCAGGGGCAACTTGGTAAGCTTCAGGAGACAGTGAGAGATGGATGGAAGAGGAACTGGAGCCAGTGTCTATCCTCCTATTTAAGAAAATAATATTGTCATGGCAGCATGTACTTAACTATGTTACTGTAATACAGTGGCATGATCCACCTGAGAACACTGTTTGTACAGACCACACTGACTTCCCAATGCTGTTTGCTAAGCTACAAGTGTTTGGCTGGATTGATGTTACTTATACAAGGCACTTCTTGTTTTAAACTACAATTCTGCTGTAGTAAAAATATAAGTTGATGATGTCTATAAAAGACAGCAGAGCATCACTTCCTAGTAACTCAGATTACATCCTGCAATTTGGCTCTGTTTCAGCAGAATTACTGAACTGTGCACTTGCCAAGAACTATTTGTAACTGAAAAATTTGACAGGGAAAGGGGTCCCTGCCTCAAACAACACAAGAAAAGGAAGTCAAAGTGCTGTACAAATTATGCTGTGAAAGGGATATGATAGAGAGACACTTATAAATGTAGGGTTCCTCTACTTCACTTATGTTTAGGTAGACAGCATGGATTGTCAACAGAGAGTGTGGAAAATTCAGTAAAACCCTTGTCCTGCTCTACCCTTTGCCTGCTTTACAGTCAGCAGTTCAGATCATCAGCAAGAGCAAGACAGGCTTCCCCTATGAAATGTCTCAGTTGCTGACATTAAATTTTCCTTAAAAAAAAAAATATCTATGGAGAACATAACAGAGGATAAGCCTCCATCCCCATATGCTTTCTATAATAGAATATTCGTAGGGATCCTGATAGGTGTGAGGCTGTGCCCCAGCTGCTAAAAAGATTTAAGCCCATGTGTGATCTATGTTTCCCAAAGCAGGATGCAATGGCACTGCTCATGTGACCAACATCATCTTCACAGTTAAGTCCTTGCAACATCAAGGTCTGTTTGCTTAAAAAGCATTTTTCTTAACTATGTTACTAATAAAGTCTCAGATCACTCAGGCTGAAAGAAGGTTAGAAGTGTTATGCAGTTATTTACCCTTCACGCTATTTGTGTGGCATTCATCTCCCACAGCGCATGCCTTGCCCTTTTCACACTCCCTTTCTCATGCAGGAACACAAAGCTGTAATGTTTGGGTTGCAAACACTATTAAATGCCCCTCTTCAGCCCCCAACAGCATAGAAATATTTTCTTTTAAAAGTTCAGATCAAAGCATTTCTACTAATCCTAGGATTTATTAAAACAAACATCATAGGCATGAGATAGTCAACAGCGTCCCTTTTATAGGATTCTTTGGAGACGGTTCTGATTTTGTACTGTTTACTGATCCGCCCCTCATTAATCTTCAGTTGCTCAGCTGCAAATTCAGCAAGTCCACCTGCTCCTTCCCCTCCCAGATGATGTTCCTTTAACCCCAGTTTCTAGTTGAAATGACAGCACCACATAGCCCCAGTCCTGAGAACAAGGTGGCTTGCTCAAAAAGCTACATATCACATCCCGATGTTACAAGAACGTATCACACACATTTGCAGCAGAAGTCTAGCCTCTCCTCACATAAGTAATTAAAACCAGTCATTAAGTGCTTTCATGGAGTTTCATTGTCTTTATCCTTCCCTGCAGTCAAGGTAGTTGCCTTTGATCCAGTAACAGATCTGTGCGTATTTGAGGGGTGTGATGCGAACAGCTACATTGAAATCCTGTGGGGTGCCATTCATGTCCACCCACTGATGGCCTGAAAATATTCCAATAATTTTACGTTCCCATTTGTGATTCTGCCTCTTCCACATCCTCACATACACCCCAGATCCACTTGCACCTGGCTGGGCATCACACTGCTGGTACAACAGGTCATACGTTTCATCTTTGACATCACAGAAACGGTACACCAGATTTCCTGGACGATCGTTGTCGTAGCCAGAGAAGTGAATCCTCCCTCCAGGCAAGTGTCTTGCTGGTGGGCTCACACCTATCTTCATAAACTTTCTTTTATGAGGCTTCTTGAGCTCCAGCAGGGCATAGTCATAATCCATGCCAATATCATTGGCGTTGCCTTTGATCCATCCTTTGGGGACGTGTGTCCGTTTCACTCGGATCCACTGGAATTTCATTTTTTCAGGCATTGCTGAGTTGGTGATATTGGCCCCTTTGCTGCCGTCTTTCAGTTTTGGCTTCAGGAAGCCCACCCGCAGTTTCTGAGCTCCTTTGACGTAACTCTTGCCATCATGGATACAGTGAGCGGCAGTAAGAACATGCTTCTCAGCCACTAGTGTTCCTGTGCAACCTGTAGATAGCTTCACTGATGTGGAGAACGGGTAATTCAACAAGAAGTCCTTCCCAAAAATGCTAAACCTGCTGTCATAGCCATAGATCTGTCTCTTAGTTCGAGATTTGCCTTGAGACCCATCACTGCTGCTCAGAATGTATATGCCCACTTCGGTTTCAGTGAGGCTACCGTTAGCGTACAAGGTTTCATAGGACAGGTAGTTCTTCACTTCTTCATAAGTTGGCAGCGGAGAACTTTTGTGGCAGGCTGGGCCGCAGGGAGACACCACATCCAGTCTGGCTTCAGCATCAAACTGTGGCTTGTCCAAGTTGAGGGTAGACTGTGGCAGGATGACTGGAACTCTGTAAGAAGGCCATGTTGGCTTCCAGTGAGGACTGGAGGGCATCACATCTTTAGCAGCACACAAAAGGAGGATTAACGTGGACAAGCCTGCCATTCTGAATGCCGGTCTGCGGAAAGCAAAAGAAAGTCCAGTTACTCACCCAAACTTGTTGCAAGATCAATTTGCTTTGCTAAGCAATGGTTTGTTAAACAAGTATGATACTTGGTCAAAATCAAGCAATTTGAGTGGAGCAAAATAGCATTTCAGGCTTCTTAGCATTAAACTAATGCCTCAACCTGTATCTTGAAGCAAGAGTCCCAGGTTAACACATGAAACCCAGGATATTTAACCTCCAGGTGTGCTGAGCCACCAAGTCCCAATTACCATCAGTGACAAATTACGGTATTTGTCTTTACTCCATGTCTACAAAAATCACATTATGCATAAATTCCTGCACCCAGATACCGTAACTCCTGCAAAGAATTAATGCCTTTAGAGAATGCTGTAATCCAGCTGCAGTAGAATTCTCTGAAAGCTCCTACCTACCCTCTGACACCACTGAGAGGGGTCCCTTCAAACACCTCAGTTTGCTGTCTTAGCCAGAAACATCATGCTGATGGTAGGCAAAGGCAGGAGGAAAAAGATAACCCTAACAGAACAGGCTGGCACAACATGACCGCACAGGAGACTTGCTTCTCCTTGCAGCTCACACCAGAGGAAGGTTTCTGCTCCACATAGCATTCGCCCTCCCCTAAGCTTACATGAGAAAGGCCAATCGTGATTACACAAAGTCAGCTAATGAAGCAAGCTTACAGCTCCTGAGGGAATTTTCAGTTAACATACTGACTTATTCCTTCATAAACTTAATTAATTAGAAATGCAAACCAACCCCCTCTGAGCACGGGGAGGCAAATGGGGCTGTAAATGTGTTTATGAACCCCAGGCAGAGTGCCTCAGACTGCAGAGAACAGCGTGCACTAGTATTGTGTCAAGAAAATGTGTAACTTTAGTTTACTTGAAAATTAGCCATACAGCTGAATCGCTGCAGGAGGCACTGTGCCCTGGGCAAGAAGGCAGGCAGGATCTCCCTCATACAAGGATTATTCAAACAAAACTTCACAATTATGTTGAGCTTACACATATTTAAACCCTGCTGAGGCTACGCTGATCACAACTGCAAGATCATTCCTGAAATACCTCAACCAAGCAAATCAAAGCAAACCATGCAGGAGATGACCACAGCTATCTAAGAATAAAAAAGAAAAATCCTTCTCTCCGATGCTGCTCACACGCCATTCCTAAGCCTTGCTGAAAAAGACTTCGGACACTGCAAACTGATCAAGTCTGAAGGTGTCCAACTCAAATATTAGGCCTGGATCCCTTCTTTGTTGGTAGCATCCTCTTTGGGAATGGAGGCTATAATTAAAGCACGAAATGTTCAAGATATCAATTGACTCATGCGAGGAAATCAAAACATTTTGATTCCAAAAAACAGACATAGATGAACAGAGCTGATGCTACTGATACCCACAGAGGCAGGTACTGACTCTGCCAGAAGCAACCAGACATTCTGTTGATAATTTTTTAAATAACAAATAGGATGTCTTTAAAGGGATATATTTTCTTCTGGAACAACTAAGCTCTAAGCTCTACACATGGAACTAGATGATCTTTAAGGTCCCTTCCAACCCAAGCCATTCTACGATTTCTATAGAATGAGTTATTTAATACCTAACAGGCAAATCATGCCAGAAAATTCAGGCCATTTTAAACATAAATCAGACATGCATAATCTTAAATGCCACAAAATCAGAAAATACTTGCTTATTTATTCAAGGAAAACCAGCAGCTCCTCTGGCTCTATCTATGGCAGAGATTAATACTGGGTGCTGGCTGTGTTTTGCAAGCTATCAAATCAGATCGTCTCTGATTCATGTAACAAGAAACGCTTGCTGTATATCAGATGTATCTGTTGTAAAAGAGCGATTAGGAAAATACACAAAAAGAAGGTAGCAGTGATGAATGCTGTATCCTCACAAAGGCGATATACACTAGCATCAGTCAACTGTTAACTGTCCTCACTGGTGACAATGAGGAGTGACACAGGAGCGCTTACTGTTGCTGAGAAAGACTAAATCACACTTAGGCAGTGCATCAGGTAGCAGATCTCATTATTAGGAGCGCATATTTATACGCAGCCTGCTGTCATCTGCTTCACACCAAAGCAATTCCCATAAATGACATCTGAAGCTTTTTTGATAGATGGAATCTCTACTTAAATTGCACCACTCGTGCCACTTCTTGGATGTAAAAACCATTTGTGCTAACTGAGTCGATGCCGGCCTTCGGCTGATTTATTTAGCTGTCAGGGGATAACTGGAAGCATCTTGTCAGTTGTTATTTGCACGAGCAGCAAGAATCCCCAGTGCCTGTCAGCACGGCGACCCGATGAAGGGACAGCATGCCCAACAGCTCCTCTGCTTCTAATGAGAGCATCAGCGGAGCTGGAAAATTGCCTCTCCCTACAACCTGCCCTCCCTCACCTCCCTACCATCCCCTCCACAGCAGCACCAACGCTGGAAAGGCAGTTTTAGACAGCAGAGGGCAGCCGCCCGATGAAGAGACCACGACAAGAGCTGCGACTCCACTCTGTCCTGAAAAAAGGCTTCAGAAAGACCGTATCTGTATCTACACCGTGCTCTGTCAAAGCGGTACGTATTCCACTTCATGTCCCTAGGCGGGCCTTCCCACACCCTCCCCGCAGCTTCTGTGCGGCAATCGCATCGCAGATACACGGGATAAAGCAGCCTTTTCATCTGCTACAGAACTTTGCTATTATTTCAAAGGTTATTAAAACCTAACCGTAATAAAACATAGTCATAAGTTTATACCTGACCACAGATGCCCACAAACCAAGGTATTTACAGACGTCTTTGTAATTATGTCTCATCTGGAGACATAACTGGTAATAAATCAGCTGTCAGTTGCAATAAATAGAGAAAATGTCTTATTTTTTAACAAGATGCCAAATTAGTGCACAGAACGTCTTGCTGTGTAGATCCTCCCTCTTTAAAAATAAGTGGTTAAGCAAAAGAATGAAAGAATTAAAAAAAAAAGCAGTGCAAACTTAAAGAGAAACCTACCAGATAGCCTCTTCTCTTTTTCCCTTTTTGTTTAAAATAAAGCGTATACAAACAAACAAAAAAATAACAATGCAACCGCAACAAAGTTAACAAACACACTCTGCTCAGCTACTTACTTGTGGGTGACCCTGAGAGATGTTCTCAGACAGAGCAAACCGGTAAGAAGCAAGCACTTCCCTGAACAGCTATCACAAAACGATAGTGAATGAATTACGACGCGCTGTTCTACTGTAGTACTGCTCTTCTGTTTCTATTTAAACTGTGTCATAAACTCAATCCACCCTTTGACTCAGTACAAAGCCCTGCTCTGATATCCAGCATAGGAACCCCCTAGAAAGCGGTTTGTACATAATCACACTTGCTAATGGAATTAAAATTGTTTGGAGAATGGAAACACTGACAGCTACCCTGGGGCTCCCCACACCACTAAAACACTTTGCAGACACATTTCCCTGCCTGCTATGGGCATTCATGCCTTGAGATAGATGTTGGTGAAAGAGAGCTGCCTTGTTCAGAATGGATGTGAATCATTTTCTTATAAGTAAGTAATTTTTCTGGAAGAGTTCACTGCTTCGAGGGTGGTTCTTGTAATAGATGGTTAAATAGCAATAAATCCTGGGATGTACAGTATGAAAGCCCATGAACGGAACAGTCTCTGTTACATTTTGAAATGAACAAAGTTTTTCCACAGCACTGGAAGCCAGAATGATTAACACTGCAAAAAGAGAAAGAAAAAGGAAGAGAGCACGAGAAAGAAAAACCTGCCTCAAACCGAACTATAGAGGTGAACCAAATTACCGTTACCGCCGTACCAAAGCACCTCAGCTGCTTTTCCTAGTCGCAGAACTTGTTAAAGCTCAGCAGAAGCAATCGAGTCGCGCTGCAACAACTGCGGGAGCGTTACTGCCATAACCCTGCAACCTCCGCCCGCCTGCCCACGATGCTGAGGCGGTGCAAGAGTTACAGAGCCTCACCGCCAGACGGAGGGCTGGAAGCAGAGACGTCTCAGAAAACCCTGAAACAAACTTTGATACCGGCAGGCCAACGGCGTCTGCCAGCACATACAACAGCGGGCACTGACACGCGCATCGGCAACACGCACACACACACACACACAGAGGGCTCGTGTTCTGCCTGCTCACCTCTCGGTCCAATTTCTGTCAAACATTTTTCCCTGCCTCCTTCCACCCTCCCTCCTCTCCTTTTTCTCTCCCCCCGCTTCCTCGCAAGGGGTTACGGCACAGCTGAGCAAAGCACACGGCAGGCAGGGACACGCGTGCCAGGGGCTATCTGGCCACCTGGGCGATGTGCTGGGGGGTGGCTGCTGCTGCTGTGCTCCACAGACCTCACTCCTCAGAGGTGTCCCAGCTTCAGCTTCAAGGAGAAGACCCTTGCACACGCTTGCAAGAGCAAGCTAAGGATGCGAAGCCCAGCACAGGGCTCGCAGGACTACTTCCAACTCCTCCTGTGCATCCCGATGCGTGCACCCCCACCAAGTCGCCCTGCCACCAGCGCCTTTCGCACCAGCTGCTCCCCGATGCCCCAGCAGCCCCCTTTGGGGTCTCTAATTCGCAGCGGGCAGCCGGGGAAGGGCTGTCCTCCCCCTCCGGAGCCGTTTAGCCACACATCAGCCTTTCACCCCTTTTGTCTGCGGCGCCGGGTCGCGCTCCCGTTCAGGGGGGCTTCCAAATTCAGTCCCCCTCCCGCAGCCCTCACCAGCACCCCGTGTCCCCCCAGCACCCCGGCGGGACCTACCGGGGCTCCCCCGCTGAGGAGGCGGCGGCGGCGTCTGCGGGAGCGGCTCAGGCAGGTGGCGGCGGGGCCGGTCCCATCCCTGCCGCCGCCTGCGAGGGGGGCTCGGGGGCGCCTTCCCCCGGCCGCCTGCTCCGAGCGGGGCGGAGCGGGGCGGAGCGGAGCCTCCCGCAGGTGGCTCCCCAAGCCACCGCCGCCGTGCCCCGAGTCCCCGGCTCCGAGCCCTCAGCCCCAGATCCCCAGCTCCGAGACCCGACCCCCGGCCCCGCTGCCCCCGGCGCAGGCGCCCTGTCCCCGGCCGGCCGGGCGGGAGAAGCCGAGGTCGGGGCCCGGCCCCTCCCTCTCTCCACGCAGGCCTCCCCCACTCAGGCCGCCGCCCCACTTTTTTTTTTTCTTGCTTTTTAAGTCTTTACACTGTTGTTTTTATTAGTTTCGTGAAGAAAAACACCTTTTTTTCCATTCACTCTTTTTAGTCCCATCACTGCACTGCTGCCACCTCAGCCCCGGTGTGGCCCTGTGGTGGGAGGTTTTGGGGTGGCTCTGTGGGATCCCCACCGAGGGTGCCAAGGTGTTTGCAGAGCTGGGAGTTTGGGGTCCCCAATGTGATGGGTCCCTTCTCCATGAGCCTCTGACCCGGGGAGCCTCCTGCCATCACAGGGCCCAGAGGTGGATGGTCCATCAGATCTGCAGCCTGTCACCTCCGCTGCTTCATCAGATATTTGACTTTAATTGTCAGAAACATTCGTTTTATGGGTTTTAATTACTCATCCTTCTTGAATCTTTATAATGACACCTGGCACGGAAAAGGGAAGCTGGAGCCAAGGAGGCAAAAATCCTGCAATGTGTTTTAACTCCGAGGGAATAATCCACAAAGGTTTTGCCAAAATTCCCAGCTGATCACCACTGCCCCAGAAAGGAAATATAAATTTCACAAGAATCAGTTTATATGCTGCCTTCTGCTGACCTCCTCTCCCTGCTGCTACTCTAACAAAGGGCCAGTGAAGCTTGAAGCACAGTGAAAGCCCTACCCCACTCACAGACCCTGTGTGAGGAGCTGGGGTGTTACGGGACCTGAAATTCTTTGGCATGAATTTTTAAATTTGCATTTTCTTGGGCCTAGCACCAAACCCATTTGGGTCTGCAAAAAAAGGTTTTAACAGATGGCTGGAAAATGTAAGCGGTACAAAAATCATTAATACTTAGACTAATCATTCTCAACTATAAATGATGAGAGGACAATTATAATATGAGGCAGAGGTCCCCAGAGGTAGAAGCCAAACACCTCCAGCAGAAACCCAGATCACGAATGCAACATGTGCCAGAGAGAAGCAGGGCTGGTGACACTAGTTCAGCTGCAGAGGGTGAAAGTGTTGTGAGGTTTGGTTATGTAGGGGGAATCAGAGCTGCAGCCATGATCCAGGGAGGCTCTTGCATTCCATGGGCACACAGCTTCTTTTGTCACAACTGCCAGGTTTGTTCCAGAGCACTTCCCGGCTTTCCTCCCACAAGTCTTCCTGGCTATAGCAGGTCACCACGCCAGATGAGGCCTCTTGACAACTCAGACTCTTCTAATAAAGTACTGATTGCCCAGCGGTCATTTCTGGATAACCCCAAATCTACCACTGAATAAACTCTCTGTAAGTCCCTTTGTTTCAGCTTAGTTATATCAGCCTTTCTATGTGACACCAGTTTTCAAGAATATCAGTGGGAAGAATAAATAAATGTTAGTATAAATGCTTCCTTCTTTGTACGGTTTCCACATTATTTTACAGTGACTGTGAATAAGTTCTGACTGACTGTAGGACTGCTTGACTTCCAGACACAAATTCAAATAGACACTGTCCTAGAATGCATGACATAGATTGAAATGTTTTCAGCAGATAAGGAGGCAGAGATAAGATACAAAGACAAGATAAGATACAGAGACAAGATATTGCTGAGATACCTGTGGTGGGATTCACCTCACATAAGTGTAAGGGTTTGGGATATCCTGGCAGATCCACAGTACAATATATGCCTACAGATCTTTCCCATCTGGAGAAATGGATGAAAGTCAGGTAGGGTGCCCTAAGGCATCTCAAATGAGACTAGAAACCTGTCTTTCATTCAATTCAATTCATTCAAACCATAAACATTTGCATGTAGAGGTCTACATCTGAGGTGTTCACTCTGTGTGCCCTCATTGTCAATGAAGAGAAAGAGGCACTGTCAGGATTTAATTGTGTGACCTCTTTTGGACTCTTAGGACACAGGAAAATGAGAAGGACACCCTCCAAAATGAAGCGTCTACGTAAATGTCCGCAATTAGTCAGAGAAATTCCCCCACGGTTTCCCATGGTTTCCCTGCGTGTCTTTATCATCCTGTGACTGGCAGCCATCTTTTTATATCTGACGGGCGGAAAGATCATCTTCTTCTTGTGTTATGTTTGTGCAGCACCTCCCACTGTGGGGAGCTGGTCTGTAGCATGTGGAAGGCAAGAAGGTGGTCAGGAGTAGTCAGCATGGATTCACCAAAGTGAAATCATGCTTTACCATCCTGATTGCATTCCAGGACTGGACAAATAGCTGGTTAGATAAGGGGTAAGCAGTGGATGTTGTCCGACTGGACTTCAGCAAGGCTTTTGACACTCTATCTATAGGCAAGCTCAGGAAGTGTGAGCTGGATGAGTGGATGGTGTGGTGGACCGAGAAGTGGCTGAATGGCAGGTCTCAGAGGGCTGTGATCAGTGGTAAAGAGTCTATCTGGAGGTCTGTAGCTAGCAGTGTCTCCAAACAGTCAATGCTGGGTCCAATATTGTTTAACTTATTCATTAATGACTTGGATGAAGGGACAGAGTACCTCCTCAGAAATTTTGCTGATGACACAAAACTGTGAGGAGTGGCTGATACCCCAGAGTGCTGTGCTGCTATTCAGGGGGAATACTGAACACACAAGAGAGATGGGCAAAGAAGGACCTCTTGAAATTCAGCAGAGGCAAGTACAGGGTCTTGCACCTGGGGAGGAATAACTCCAGGCACTGGCACAGGCTGGGGGCTGACCTGCTGGAGAGAAGGACCTCTGCAGAGAAGGACCTGGGAGTCCTGGTGGACACCAAGTTAACCATGAGCAAGCAACATGCCTGTGTGGCCAAGAAGGCTGCCTTAGGAAGAGCATTTCCAGCAGGCTGAGGGAGATGATCCACACCTGGAATGCTATGTCCCAGTACAAGAGAGACATGGACATAATAGAGAGAGTGTTTAGTGAAGGGCCACCAAGATGAGCAAGGGACTGGAGCATCTCTCACGTGAGGAAAAGCTAAGGGAGCTGGGTCTCTTCAGCCTGAACAAGAGAAGGCTCAGAGGAACTGAGGATCAATGCTTATAGATATCTGAAGGGAGAATGTCAAGGGGATGGAGCCAGACTCTTCTCAGTGGTACCCAGCAATAAGACAAGAGGCAATGGGCACAAACTGCACCACAGAAAGTTCCAGCTGAACATGAGAAAAACTTTACAGTGAGGGTGACTGAGCACTGGCACAGTTTGCCCAGAGAGGCTATGGAGTTTCCTTCCCTGGAAATATTCAAAAGCCACCTGGACACAATGCTGGGTAGTGTCCTGCATGGGTTCCTGCTTGAGTGGAGGGATTGGACCCTGGACGCCCCTTCCAACCTCAGTCATTCTGTGATTCTCTGATTCTGAAGCTAACAGACCACAGTATTTTGGTTACAGAGATTATCAGACATAATGTCCCTCTGTGTACAATACATGTTGATGAATGGTAGCCACAAGGCATGGTGTGTACATGACTTCTCCAGAGAAGGAAACCTTAAAGAAGGCACTGGGCAAAACTTTTTTCAAGCCAAAACTTGTGGGGAAGAACCTTTAGTTTGAAATTGAATTACGAGACAATTAGTTGCTCCCCAGAAAACTTCTAGATCTCAATTATTTTTAGAGCGTAAGTTGAACCATAAATGCAGAAAGGACAGTTCACCTAGCCTGTCTCAATGCTTGCCTTAAGAAGAAAAAAAAAAAAAAAAAAAAGAAAAAAAAGAACTACTGCACAGCTCTGCAGCAGCTCTGAACAAAATATAATGCTTTAGCTTTCCAATTCAACAGAGGAAAAAATATGAATTATAGATTATTTTTTTCTAAGTGTACATATCCTAAAAACCAAGAATTCTGGTAGAATTGGGCTGCACAAGCTTTTTTAAAAAAAGAGTGAAGTCCAAGATCTGAGCATTACTGTGAGCCATTGTTGAGGGAAAGAGCAAAAAGTGACAACATACATAAAGGTGAAGAGGTATTAGCTCTGCTATATTGTCAAGTGATAACACACATGCTGACTTTTCAGCACCTTGCGAGTAAGCTGAAAATGAAACAGTCTACAGGTGGGAGCCCTAATGAATGGCACTGTCAGGAGATAATTTCTCATGGTTGAAGAAATCTTTTATTCTGCAGGGAAGTGAAGTAACCTGGCATTATGGGCCTGTGCCAGATTCCGACGCAGACAATGGAGTGATTTCAGAGGCCACTGAGTCTGGAAGGAAGAATGACAACCCACAATTGGCTCAAATGAGTCCTCCCATTGCTCACTGCTGATGTAATGCAGCAGAAAAGGGCTGCAGCTCCCCACTGTAATAGCATCTATTCAGCAGGCTGCCTTTTTCTTGCGTGGGATGGAGACCCCTGCACACAGGTGCCCTGTTTCCCAAATCTGGGAGGAAGAAGTTCAGTTTGAAGACTCTATCCCTTTGAAGACAGGTTATTTGGAATGCAAGAATGATGGAGCAATGAGGGCATGAGTATTAACTTTGGAGAAGCAAGTCCTATCCCTATCTCAGCTCTTACTTCATTTCAGGACTCCTGGGAAGGCTTTTTTGTTGTCTTGGTTCCCAATCCGTGCAGCGTGTGTGGGAGCACGTTCTATCTCTCTGTAGTGTTGTGATGATAACACAGGGGTGACTGTTCCATGACTGGGTGCTCTGGTGGCAGGAAGGGGAAGGCCGTGCGTTTACCTCAGATATGTTACACCAGAAGATGACACCACCCAGAAAAAATGAATTTTGTTCATAGTTTTCAAAGACTGTGGACAGAAGGGTGTGGGGGGAGGCATTTAGCCCCAGTTCTCAGAAGCAATATGCTTTTACTGGCAGCATATGAGGACCCAGACTTAGATGTTTGTGTTATGAAAAGGACTGCCAAGCAGGAGAACTGGCAGCTGAATGTATGCAATGTCCTTCCTGTCTTGGCAGAAATCTCATCAACAGCACGATGGAGCAGATCATGGTAGAGGTCTCTGAACCCTTGGAGAGGATTCCTCTGCTCAACCAAAAGCAACTACAAACTAGACATGAGTACTCTAGGTTCCCTTTGCAGGCCTTGATGGGCTGCTTCAGAACGTGATTTATTATATCCTTACATCCTAAAAGAGCGTTTAAGGTAAGACAATCATCCTTTAAAAATGCTCGTTTCCTTCCACTGTCTATTTGAAAGGGTTAAATCGAATTTTTAGATGCTTACAGTTACATGAGGTCAACCTCACTCCATGTGTCATCTTTTTTTTTTTCTGGGTTAATGGGAATAATTTGAGCATCTAATTGCTCTAATAGGGGAAGGTTTCAATTGCACAATTCCATCTGCAGACGTAACTGTGCGATAAATACCCTTGCCTGAGACAAACCAAGCTTGGTTTTCTTGCATTTTCTAAGATTTTGCAATTTCTAAAATTATTGGGAAACTAAACTACAACTACATGGGAAACCCAAGAGGTAACATTGGACTGAATATACAGTGAAGGCCAATCACTGGCCTTTTACATTTACACATACATTTAGGAATAATCTTGTAGTTTCTTTTTCCAGAATTCTTATTTGAAAGGCTCATTGGGAGCCTACAGCAGTCTGACAGGGTTTCTCTAAATATCTTCTTGAAATAGAGTCTATTATGTAGAAATTCTTGATCAAACTGTGAGATACATAAACTAAGTGAAGAAAACAAGGAAGGAATAACATTTTGTATTCAGCTTGGTTCAAAGTTCACAGCTATATATAACATGTTCTAAACTTTACAGATCTTAGGAGTTACTGGTAATCATATTACTGAAAACATTTCGGACAAGTGATATTTAAACTAACAGTGCCCCTTTAATTTCATGATAGTGAAAACACGTTGAAATAAAACAGGCACCTGGATTTACTCCAACAAGGCTGAGATTCTTGTAAGACACTGCATCTTCACCATTTGGATAAACAACATATCAATACAGTGAAGTAACTGCAAAATAACACCTTCAAAATAAAACATCCACTGCAACTGCACTCACTGAGACCCTCAGGAATTTCCTGAAAAAGGGAATCTTCAGTCTTGTGCAAAGCTGGGTCACATTCATCACTACTGTTTTTATTTTCATGCTAGGCTGTGTCTTTCTGCAGAATCTGTTTAGATTCTTCTCTAGGTTTCACCGCTCTGTCTGGAAGTTTTGAACCTGCAGTGTGCTCATCTAAGAATAGTGAGCTATAATATTTTTTAAGTGCTGTATGTGCCCATGAGGTTACTGTATAGTTATAAGGTCATTGAGGGTATTAATAGACTGCTTTTCAGCTCCTCGTTGGGATCATACTCACCTTGTGCCCTGCTTCTTTAAAGAGAAGCCTGTGTTCAGTGAGCACAGCAAAGGAGAAGGCAAGAGCTTGTGTCACCCCTTAGAGAGAGCCTGCAAGTTTTGGCACAGTGTTTGATGCAAACCTTTCACCACCTGCCCATCAACCTTTGCACTGACGTCGTGTGGCTAATGCTGGGAAGGGCCTTTCCTTGTCCTCTTGTACAGCAAGAACTGGTGGGCTTTTTACGACGCCTAAGCCCAGACTTAGCCTGACGTCTGGTCACATTGCACCCAACATGGAGACACCCTGAAGTTAGCAGTGTGACTCATAAGTGAGGGCCACATCATATTTCAGCTATGTTCTAGCTACATGGGGCCAGGCAGCGCAGACAGAGCCTTTTAGTTAAAACTTTCCTTTGGGGGGAGGAAGGACTGAAGGTACTGCTGTTGGCAAGGTCATCCTGGGATAGATGCAGGGCTGTGGGGATGCCTGAAGCAGGAGCATCACCCTGACTTTCACTGAACGACAAACAGAAGGAGTGGGACTATTTTAATTGAGTTCTTTTGCCTTCATCTCTTGGTCAAATAAGCCTTTGCTAGTAGAAATTCAGTGAGTCCACATAACACCCATGAATCAGCTCCCAAGGGGAATGAGCACAGGGGCCTGGAGCTAAAGGAGGCTGTACAGTCATCGTGGCACTTGGGACAGTGCGATAGGGGCCTCTGGTCTGAAACATGAAGAGGAGGCATCTTAGAACCAGGAGAGGTCAGTTATGATTAGCTTGGGAACAAGTAAACAAGATTAACCTCAGCTAATTTTAGCCACCTAAAAATTATGCCAGTAGTCTCAGCAAGGCTGTCTTTAAATCAGAGGAGAGGAGGCATCTCAGGAGGGGAATCCATCCCACCCAGATTTGATGCTGCAGTTATTATGGGGTGAGCTGCACTCTGGAATCATTTTCTCTTGGTTGTCCGTAGAGGCAGCCTAGACGTGTCGTGTGGAGAGGACACTTCAGTTTTAAAGTTAGATGACAATGCGCTGTTCAGAGTTAAGCGCTCCTCACCAGAGAACTGCTTTTGGGAAGCTCTTCTTCACATCTTGTTGAGATGTGAACTTGGGTTGTTTTCCAAATCTTGCGTATCCAGCTATGAAAACAGTGAAGGAAATTTTTCTTCCAAATAGGCAACCTGTTTCACTAACCTATGATCCTTTCCCTTCCCTTGTGGCAGATGACAACTTACATTTGCAAGGTAATAATTGCTATTTTATGCATCTCAGCTGTGACTGCAGCTGTGGTACCATATGCAGTTCTGGCTACCTAGTTCCATGTGAGACATAGACAAATGGAGGCAGTTAAGGAAAAAAAAAAAAAAAAAAAAGATTAAAGGTAAATAAAGAAAACTTGTTTAGTTTAGCAAGGGAGGAATCTAACAATCTATACTTGGAGTGTAGAGTGTATAGGACCCTAAGGAGGAATTATTTCACATAGCATTGAAGAGTGTAATGACAAGAGTATAAGCAATGAGATAAGAAAAGACGTATTTGAGCTAAGTGTCACCAGAAAAAAATATCTGACTGTGCAAACTGCTTGTGAAATACTATCCCAAGGGATTTATTTATTTTTCTGAAGAATATATAAATTGTGTGAGGAATAAAATTGGGAAAGGGAATGATCTTGAATATCACATAGCAGTTTAGGTGATTGAATAGGTCTTTCCTAGCACTAATTACTGCAATTCCTAGATCAAAGCCTAGCAGATAGAATTGTAGAATCATGGAATGGTTTAGGTTGGAAGGGACCTTAAAGATCATCTAATTCCAACCCTCTTTCCATGGGCAGGGACAGCTTCCACTAGACCAGGAATAGGAATAGGAACAGGAAAATCATTTGATGATGTCTTGAAGAAACACATCCCATAAGGAATATTTATAGCAAGCCTGTATTTCTTATAACTTATTTCCTACACAATGTTCTTCCTAGTGAATTCCAGAATTCAGAGATTAGTGTCTAAAAATAGCTTTGTGCCACTCCATACTATGTACCAGGTACATACTGGTGACCTGTAAATATTTTCTCTCTCAAATGTACTCAGCAAAACAGTCTGTTTTCTAAGTGCCAAATCTACACACTTGGTCTGCATTCTTTCAGTCTTCTTCAGTTCTTTCAGTCTTCTTCAGTTTCTTCTAAAACAAGATGAAAGATTTATGTGGACAAATTCAATTCCTAATAATGAGTATGTAGCCTCATAGAAGCCAACTCAGATAAATACATGGGTACTACAGACCTGAGTCTAGGGCATCAATACCAAGAGCTGACTTATGCATTAAACATGTGTGTGTCATTTAGAATTTAAGACAACTTTCTCATCCTCACCAAAAACATGAACTAAGACAAGCAGAGTAGAGGTATCTGCCTACATTTAGCAACAGCCTAAGGCAGTAACTCAAAGAGGCATCGTTCCATGGCCACCTTGGCCAGAGGACCTCCTGTGGCAGAAAAGGAATGAGCAGTTCATCCTACACAGATGTCCTCACAGATACTCTCTGACTGGCAGTTCAGCCACACTCAGGAGAAATAAAGATCCTGACACTGCCCTCATCCTGGTGGGTGAGTAACGGGGTCCTATATAACTGGTGTTTGGAGTAGTGGACCTAGGCTACGAGGGCAGATGCCAGAAGTACCAGCTTTTGTTGTACCTTCAGTGCCACAAAACATCTTGGTCTGTTTTTGTCTGATAACTTGACTATAAAGTCAAGTTATCCACACAAAGAGCGTTTTGTAGCTGGAAGGTACCAATGTGATCTACCCTAACATCCTGCACTCCCTGGTAGAATTCTCTGCCCTGGTCACTAGTCTTGAGCTAGAAACACATTTCAAAGAACAGTCAATTTGAAGCTAATAATTGTCACAGTGTAGATATATGTTACAGCCTTTGGTTCATCATTGGCTAAGGATGAATTATTTCTATTTTTACCTCAGCTGTTTATCAAGATGTATTATGGTGAAAGGCCTTAAATGTCTAACTATAGTGTATTAGTACAATTCCTTTTAATCTAAAACCTGCAATTGCATCAAAAGCAGTATTGTTCTTTGATAAGAGCTGTTTCCATGAATCTTCACTATATTCATTTAACCCTTTATGAAATACATCATCTACCAGATTATTTAATCAGAGATTGGAATCAAGTGAAGAAGCACACAGTCATCTGGGTAGTTCCATACATCCTATTCAAATACTTGTATCACTTTAATTTTCTTCCAGACCTTTATAGTTTTCCTTCTGCTTTACGACTCACTAAAAATTGGCAGTAATGGTCAAGAGAGCTTCTAGACAAGCTCTTTAAAACTCCTTCTAAAATGTCTAATTTTAGTAACTGCTGTAAGCAATTATATTTAACTCTTGAAATGATACCTTTGTTAGCTGGCCAGGCTAATATATACCTTCAGTGTTGATTTTCAGTATAGGAAACTGTCATATGTAATTTTTAGAAAGTCCCACAGTCACTGTGGGAAATCCAGAATATATCATTCTGACTAGGTCACTTGCTCTACACATTGTAGAGAGGGGCTTCAAGTAGACGTTTATCGTGTGGTTCAGCAACATTTGAGAGCAATGGTTTCCCTTATCAGTGACAGAAAAGGGCGAAGCCATTTCTGACACATAATTCCAGTTTTGCTATTTTGAGGTCATTACTTGCTGGCTCAGTTATAACAAGTGATTTTAACTGTCTGATCACAGAAATCCTGCCATTAAATTCAATAATATCAGATAGGTCAAATTTATGCTTATTAATGAACAGTCAAATTCCTCTTGCTTATTATCTGGTCTCTGAGTA